AATTGTGAGGGGAGAGCCGTGAGGGGAGAGCCGCCACCCTGTGCCGTGCCCAAGCCATGAGGGGCCTTGCCAAGGTGCCACTGTAGACAGCACGAATTTGGGTGAAATCGACAGTTTTCTGTGCTGCCTCTTTGATCAGCTCCTCCTCAGCTCCCTCCCTGGTGAGGGCAGGACATGAAAAAAATCAGACTCTGAGACTGTGTCATCAGGCTGTTTGTTCTTTGCATTTGACATGCAAAATCATTGCTTGTAGAGCCACAGTGCCCACAAAATTAACCTGAATCCAAACTGAAATGAATCACTACAGTGTGCCAAGCTGTGTCCAACAACCTTTTTTTTTATTAAACCATTATAGCAAACATTGTCCAATACATAGAAAGAAAGAATGTAATAAAAATGAACATTTTTAAAGGGAAATTTTACCCTTTGACATGAGTATATTTGTACTTAAGGACTTAGAGTGAAAATCAGCTACTTGAGTCTACAGTGACTTYAGTGTAAGGAACAGAAATTTGGAAAAAAATTTGGATGAGACACATCCAGCTCTGCTGTCAGCCAAAGACGCTCTTGGCTGGCTCATCTTTYGGTTTCTCGAAGACTGTTTCACCCCCTGTCCGGGCCCGGCTGAATATGGAAGGTGCTGCAGCGCCCATTTGTTCTTGGAAAACAAAACCAGGAGAGACAGTCAGTGAAGTACCACCCAAATTCAGGGAGTAAAACTAGTGCTGCTGAATAGCATTTATACACATTCGATAAATACTTCATCTGTCCGTCAGGTGAACGGCAGGCTGCTGTTCCAGGGGTGACTCACTTGRAAACAGAAATTAAATCAATGTTTTACTCTGCTTAATTGTTTCTAATCAAGGAGACTTACCACACTGYCTCATCACTTGGTAGGTTTTGGATTTAATTTCCTGGTTTTTGGCAAGGTTTCCTCTAGCTCCTTTGAGGTCTTCTTCCTTCACTGGAGGACGCTTCTTTTTCACAGGGGCTGGCTAAGAAACAGACCCACACATCAGTATTTTGTGTTTGAAGCACAGGGAGCAAAGCTGCCTCAACCCAAAGGCTACAATACACAGAGTCACTAACACAATATTTCACCTGTTTCAATTCCAAGATTACACACTCAGCTACTTCAGATCTTTACATAACCACAATTTCACTGCCCTTCCCAAAATCTGTGATCATTCTTCCTGTTCTGAAATTCTTATCATACAGCCTTTGAAAGAGCAACAAACTACTTAGTTTTTTTAAAAATATTTTATTCTTATATTTTCCCTGTACAGCCCTGCTTGCTCATTCTGCAAGTGCTGATTGGTAATTCAAGAATCTGTCCAGTATTTGGAAAGGAAAAATCCCTTCATTACTAGATTGGGCTTGTGCCTCAGTTTACTTACTACTTCTTTGGGAAACTGGCCAAAGAGATTCTGCAACTGGAGTTGCTTTAGTTGGAATAAACACTTGACCCATAGTTATCAATCTTAAATTTAGGGAACAAAAGTATCTGAGCACTCAGCAGCTCTCTACTGAACACATCTGAAGCATTAGACTTGGAACTCAAAGAAAGAGAAGGAAATCTAATACAGAAACAGATGCATCATCAGGTGGTGCACTGCAACAGCCAAATACGAATCTGTTTACAGTTTATCCCGCTGCAAGGAAATAGGGATAACATTGCTTCGTAACAGCCTATCCCTATCTTTAAATTAGCACTCCACAGTCAGACACAACCTCACTYGGCAGCAGCCAACACCATAAGCATTCCCCCTTCAGTTCAATATTTCATGGACAGATTTCCAAGGTCCTACCAGGCAGCTCTTGTGGCAAAATGCAGGGGCACAGGGATATGTTTAAAAGRAACAGAGGATCCACACGCTCCAACTGTAATAGATTTACACACTGAAACATCAACAAGAAACTTCTCTAACCATCTCTACAGGGCTTCTGATATTTGGGTTCTGGTAGTGGTGGAGCCCACTCAGGCATYCCCTGTGAGGCTAAAAACAGTTGTGCAGGGAACCAAATCCCTCAAGGCTCACAAATGGCTGGAGCAGTGAGTCCCAGGGACCTTGCAGAAACCGCACATGCATGGCTGGCTCTTGGTTGGGTGGGCTGGCTCCACTGGAGCCTTTGGCATGTTTTCTGCCTGCTGTAAATTCCTCGGAATGCTCAGAATAGCTCACTGTCAATCYCGCTTGCATGTGTTGTGGGAAACAAAACATTTACAAGATCTCTGGGGAAAACACTCATGAGCAGACAGAGCAAGCAAGGGGAAAACAGGGTTTTCCTTCAAAATCTTCAACAGCTTGTGAATGGTCGCTCAGCTGGTGAACCAAATGTCCCCACAGCCAGGGTGTCACCCGTCCTTCTGTAATGACAACTCGCACCTGATGGGAACAGTCSCTCATGGCATGGTCCACAGGCAAAMAAYGCAGAAAGGGRAAAAGCCCATTGCTTTGTTAACAGAAATGTGAAATCTGCAAAGGTCCTTTGTCCATTATTGGCAACGGACAGTAACTGTGAGGCTTCCTCTCACTGGGACAAGGGAATTCCTGGGGACAGGGTGGTGCTTGAGATGCACAAAGATACAGCCAGGCTGAGAAGAGCCCTTGAATGTCACCCAGTTATTTAAAAATAAACAGTCTCATACTTTGATCACAGGAGGATTTTCCAGCAGGACAGTTGCTGWGGATTAGTTTGCCCCCAGCTGAAGAGCAAAGCTGGGGCACAGAGAGGTTAAACTGTGCCCTGGCCAGCAGCTGCCACTGTCACAGCCTCACCACTGCTAATTGCTCCCAGAATTCGTGAATAGGGTTTGCCAGGAGCCATTCCCAGCTGGCACAGGAGCACAGCCTGTACTTTACCTCCTCCGGTCACAAGTCAAAAAGCACTACTTTACAAAACATACAACTGGTTTTTAGTCCCTTTTACTGCAGAGTAAAGAAAATCAGTTGAACTGAGTTACTTGCTGTAGCTGAAGAACTGTATTCTCCTAATCTGCCGGGGCTCCTACTCTCCATCCCACCGATCCTGTAAAATTCTTCTGCTGAGGAGGGCTCTGCCGAGCACATGCAGCTTGTGCAAATGCAACATTTATCCAAAACCTCAMTGTTTCTGAGCTAATTTTAAGAGCACTTTGAAACGCCAATTATTGGGGAATGCATTAAAGACAACCCATTAGTTACAGAAGTGTGTAATATAAAATTTCAGTTGCAAATACTGTATCCTAACAGTTTTAATTTTCAGTCACACTTTTTTCCCTCATGGGAATACATTAAGCTTTACACAGTGACATTTCAGAACAGCCACCTCTTTTCAAAACAGAATTTCAAAATCACTGTCTGAGAAAGYGTGTTGGAAAGGCAGAGATCCTTCCTTCTGTGAAACATCCCAATGCAGAGCAGGGGGAATGATTTTTCCCTTTCTACACAAATAAAAGTATTTAAGAGAAACCAGAACATTTTAAAGCCAAATTTATTAATCATGTATAGGGGCRGCTGCTTTCCTTCTTCACCAAATAACCCCTCTTAAGAATGCACTTGTTTAAATACATTAATAGAGCATATAAATACTACAGTGTAATGACATAAGTCACAGAGCAGAAAAGCTGAATTCACTGGTTAACGAAAGGAACTCACTAATAAGCTTTTCCAGCAAAGCATTCAAACCAGTAACAGGTTTGCCAGGCGCTGCTCCATGGGCAGGCAGTGCACAGATGTCCCCGTACCTGTGACATAACTGCGGTGCTCCCTCGCTGAAATCCCTCCCAGGTCGTTCCCAGCTTTGATTAAATCCAGCCCGTGAGCTCTGTGAGTGCCTGTTGTTTTCCTGGACTTATATAGACTATCTCAGTGAAGTCATTAGCTGGGTCATCTTCCCAAAGCAGCGCCCGGGATGATTCAGGTTGAGAAAGGCTCTTGTTGTCATAAGGTTTATTCCTGGCGATGACTCGAGCATGCAGCACTCACTAGGCTGGGCTGATRGGAGCAGACAGCTGTGGCAGAGGGGACACGGGGAAGCCTGGTTCCTACAAAAACCATTCCCGGGGGGTCCACTAGGGCTCTGTTTCTAACTTTAAAAGGCAACTTTTTGTTATGGACACAAAATTGAGTCCTCTAGGGGAAGGGAGGGGGGAAAAGAGTGGGCATTTGTTTCCYGACATAACAAAACATGTGTTCTCTAAAGATGATATAAACCTAATGTCCAAAGCATAACTGTGCCCTGAATCACTTTAGTACAGGGATCTTTAACAGAAGAGTATTTTGTGTCTTTTGAAAGTTAATAGAGCAGGGTATGGTTTTACAGCTYTATCACTGATCATGTTCCAGTGCTGGCTCTTACACAACTGAGAGTAAAATCACTTTCTACTTGCAGCACCATTAGCAAGTTTAACCATTTCACCTGCATATGTATAGGAACTGCTTACTCAGACATGGATAAACTCGGTGTTCCCCACTGCACTTGCTGACAGCAGTTAAAAACTTACCCAAAACTTTTAACATTTCTTCTCTAAACAATTTTTATATTAAGTAAAACCCTGCCACCTCTGAGCATGAATTTTTCATTACTGGGAGAGGGTTGGGTCAGAGATTGTTTCCCTTTTGGTTTTGTTTTTTTTTACATCAAATATTTGTATCATGCAAAAAAAAAAAAAAAACCCCAAAAAAACCCCCCAGCTTCTGTAACTGCACTCAACACCTACAAAGAACCAAGACTCCAGCCAGGTGGGTTAATGTGAGAAGGGCAGACCTCCAAACACCTTCCACTAGASAGATCAACCCTTGTAGTGGTAGAWATCTGCCCTGGCCTTTCCTTGRGCTCTGCCTGTGCTTTTAGACTACAGAGAAGCATGAGTAGTCACAGCAAGTTTGCTTTTCACTATGAAAACATGACATCAAACCACAGCTCTAGTGCTCAACCAGCAGGACTGTGGRATCTCTTGGCTGTGAATTACCCTCCAGGCCTCTCAGTGTCCAATCTGTCTTTAAGCTGAACTTTTCCCAGGCCTGAGATTTTCTCCATGATTGGGGGAATTATTTGTAGGTTAAGCAGCAGTTTGGATGTTACATACTTAGCCATTCCTTAGGTTGAATTTCTATTTTAAACCCAGAGGAAGCGTCACTGCAGAGCAGCAGTGCCCTTAGTAGGCCAACAAAACAGAAGAATAAAACATTGACTTTAGAAAAAAGAGATTTTTTTCTGTACAAAATAACAGTTCTCTACTAAGATGTTTCTCTACAGTCCCACAAGCATCACTATTCCAACTATTTATTATGACACAAAAATAAYATTCTGCATGTTTAAAGTAAATATTTAGAATTCAAGACACTGAACTGTTATTTTCCTGTCAGCTTTCAAAATTGCTTCAGTTAATTGGTACTGCATATTTCTCATTCAAAAGCAACAKTTGTGCTTTCTTAGCAATTGAACCTATACAAACAAAATCATCACACAAAATCAAACCACTTGAACCTTGCTTGCCATTTGGGGCAGGTGAAGTGCTTACAGAGGTAGGTAGCATATTCGGAGGTTTCTAAAACACCCTCGTAGCCTGGAGATTCTGTTCTCTTCAATTCCACATTGCCTAAACTAGCACCCAACAACAAGGCACTGCTGCTCCACTCCCTTTCCTTGCACAGATTATGGGCTATTTTTCCTCATGAAGAACCTACCTTAAATCTAAAGTTACTTACATTTTAGAATAGAAATCCTATAAAGCTGGTTGAGGTCCTGAGACCTGGTAAATGGAACATAAATGACAATGAAACAAGATGGGCTCATTTRTCCAATAGTGGTTATTAAAACTACAGATTTTAATCTTTCACTGCAATAGGAATTGTGGAAAACTCTTTTGCTCAGGAATGGTTCCAACTAAAATATGGCAATGACCATAGAGAATTGAATGAATGTACATACTGGCTGCTACTGTGGCCTCCAAATCTCAGGGAAGATTTCACTCCTCCTTCAGCAAAGTGCTAACAACCCCTCAGGGGACTGACACTTGGTAGAGTGAAGATTATACTCTGAATTCCTAAGGGTGCAATGGGTATGGGGCTGCTTGGATGTGGTAAGTGGAAAGCATAAAAATAATAAGCAAATGTTACAGAGGAGTTAGAGAGGCAGGACTGGGTTGATACTATGCAGGTCCAGCCCTGGAAAAAGCCTTCCTCAGGGCATGGATCTGAGAGAAGCCTGCAAGGACTCTTAAACTTGKAAACAAAATTTGCAATTTAAGAATAGTGGCTCTTTCCTACCAAATGGGATTTGCCATTAAGGTAAATGGATATATTGAACTTAAAATCAGCATTAGAGTGTACACAATTAGATCTGAGGTTAAACTCAAGTAGCAAAATCTGTTTCCCACAAAAGCACACCATAAACACCAAAACACAGGCACTTTGAAACAGAACAAGTAGAAAACAAGTGTACAAATCTGTAATAAGTCAAACTTTATTGTAAACCATTATACAACGTAATTACATCAGATACCCTTAAAAGTTTAAGGTAACACCACTGATTAAACAATATGGTCCAAACAGAGGGCAGCAGAATACAGCTGTTGGTTTTGCTCACATTGGCTATACTCTGAATTTACTTACAAACAAACCCCACATTCAGTTTGAGATGGATATCCACGCAAGACAAAAACACCTACAAAAGAGTCCCTTTTTTAAAGATACTGCAGTTTTACTTTGTAAAACCATAGTAGTCATTTTCAGTAATTGAACTGGAAACTTCACCTAAAAAAGTTTGCACACCTATGCTGTAGATGYACTCTGACTTGATGTGGCTGAATTTATTCACTTTCACTACTGKTTTCTCCTCTAAAAAGCACAGCAAAGTTGCAAACACAGGTTAGTCAAGCACAGTGGCGGAGATTCCTTGTGATGCTCAGCTCTGAGCAGAGCGGGAGAGCCCAGGCCCCCCTCCCCAGGCACGGCAGGAATCGGAGCAGACTCCTGCCGGAGGGGATCACGTTGCATTGCTCTATTTGCAACTCAATTTTTGAGTTTTCCCTGAAGAAAAGCTATAGTACATTTTAGTTAGCAACATTAACAGACAGCATTCACCTACTTAAAGTAAGACAAGGGGGTCTGAACATATTGAAGCCAGAACTTGGAAACCACATMTTAGACAACACCAGAGTTTTAAATTTATGCAGATGTGTCACAGGTTGGATACTAGGAACAGTTAATACATTTACGTTGACCATTCATGGTAAATTCCATCTCCACCAATATTTCTGTGTCTCTTCTCTATGTTATAATCACCTTCTCTTATTTTGGCATATATTACATAGTTTATTTTCATTGAACAGAATCCTATTTTCTAAGCACAGCCTGAATTAAACCTGGGCTATGAGCTGTCCTGAAGTACATTTTCCAGGTAGAAATCTGAGTTCAGACAATTTGAGGATAATGCAAATGTGATGTTGCAGTATGGATCAACTCTTCATGAAAAGTCTATTTCAGACTGTACTGYCAATACATTTCAACCAGTGGTAAGACACAGTGAAGCACTAGGCACACACTCCCCCCTCACACATGGAAGCCTGTCAGAMAAAAGCACTTGTCCTACTTGTAACTACTGCAAGAATTAAAATTTCTACCTTAGAGAGAGGGAAMTGGCCAATTTTACATTTTCATCTCTCTCACAATAACCAAAAATGCATAGTAAAAACAACCAGATTTTATTATTTAGATAAAATTCCAAATAAAATCATTGTCTTGGGAGAGAAAGTAATTTTTTCCCCTCTCAGGGTTGCTCCTCCTGTTACTACTGTGGTATTTAAAATACTTCTGTGTCTTTGGCTCATAGTGCTTTACTACATCATCTTGCTAGGCATATCTGGATCTCACATCAAGTGACATTTAAGCACTTAAGACATGAAAAACRAGGCATTCAGAACCTTTGCTATAACCACGATCAAGAAACTGCTCCATAGCACTTTACATTGTTTTGTACTTGGTCAATAAGCTTGAGGTCTGCTCAAATTAAATATTTTTACACGATTAAGGCCATAATTTAATACTGACACCTCACAGACTAAACATAAGACTAGAATAATTTTGATAATTGAAGTAACTGGAGGAGGGAAAAGGAAGGTAAGATGCAAGCTCGTACAGTTAAATTTGTGTGCGCTGCTCAGTTATCTCAGCTGGCGAGGACAGCCGTAGCTGTGCACTGGGACGTAGCACATGGTCAGTAACTTTAATTCACTACCTGAAATACAGTTTACTATGCTAAAAAAATAAATGCTGATGTTTGTGACAAGAGCCAGTCCTAGCTCTTAAATCCCTTTGGAAAAGTGAGTTGTATGAGACTATTCTGTTGATGAATTCTTTGAAATACTGTGCTTTTGGAGATCTGCGCCTGCCCAGTGGTAAATAGTCAAGAGAAGATGTGAATCAGACAATCAATAGAAAAACCCCAAACCCCYCAAAACAGAGGCAACACTGATTAGGAATATTTTCCCATCCCCACCCCCCATGTCAAAAGAACTCAGGTAASCTTCCACTGTCATTAGTTTCTAGATTTAGTCTAAAGGAAACCCTAGTACTGTAACTTATTGCAGTTCTTACATTTCAGTGCACAGTAACAAAGGTCAGTGGCTCAACTAAAACCTCAGGTTTGTAAAATGTCCCTTTGAGCTGGCTGGACACCTGAGGTGCCAGAGCATCGTGTCCCCTCAGCAGCCACCAGGACAAGGGATACTGGAATAGTGAAAGTAAGCACGGGAGCGCACAGTTCAGTATTTACTAAGGCCCAGTTAAGTGGTCTGGATAATAAATCACATTAAGACCTAGTAAATCTATTAAAAAATGTAAAAAATCTTAAAAAGTTCTGAGCAGTTTTCCAATGAAACTGGTTTAAGGCTTAGAATTTTTTCTGGTGTCCAGATACTACAACAGATTTGCATTTAAGGTCTGTTGTCACCTCTTTGACACATCACCTTGTCCTGCACAAGGCTCAACTAAGCAAGGAAAGCTGTCAGAAACAATCATTTAGAAAGTATGCAAAGCAAAAGGATGTCACTGAAAACATATCTGCTAAGATTCAGATCACCACGTGTTGTCAATTATCAGAAGRGACTCTGAAAATCGCAGAAATGCTGTGGTAACAACTGCACTGTACCCCTTGGGGTTGTTCTTTTACTACTGAAGGATAATGAGACTTTATGGAAATGAAATAWGAGAAATATTTTGTTGTTGCTGTTAAGCACATTAAGTAGAAGATTACTCAAAAAAAAAACCAACAAGGGACAAAATTATATTTGCAATACTGTAGCACAACTGCTTCAATCAGATCATAGTCCYGTACCGCAGGCCCTATAAAAGGAAAAGAATCAGAAATGTTCCATCTCTTTTGGGTCATTTGCGAGGTATGCACAAGAGACTTGCAGAAACAGAAGTAGTTAGAGTCATCCAYAGACACTCATTTCACAAATAACTTATGACAATGGATTTTTGTTATACACTAAAGTGCATATTTGTCAAATATGCAAAGACCACCTCCTACTGAAAAARGTATTTTCAAATTATGTGGTCAAGAGCACACACAGGACTGCATTTTT